AGGTCAGATAACCAGCTTAGGCACAGAACCCTGGGCAGAGCTTCCCCTGTGCCCCCAGCCCCACCAGGACATCTACCATGGGAAATCAGATCGAAAGGAGCATCACTCAGCCAGGGTGAGGATAAGAAGTCCCAAAGAGGGAGGGGCAGTCTTGACGATTTTTGTGAGAACTTGATGGGAAGTTTACCTGTGTGGTCTGTGTGTGTAAGGAAGAGTGTTGTGGACCAATTGTGCCTATATGAACTTCAAGTGATTTTAAAAGCATAGACCCTCTATTAATTCTTGCTCTGACCATGGGCCAGCTTTGAGGGGTGGGGTGGGACTCAGGCAGAGCCTCTGACTCCAAACACTGAGCTGGCTATTACGCCCCGAGTCTCTTTCCCATCCCTTCATTTGTTACAGCCCGCCTACAATCTCTCTAGTGTCCAGCAGAGGGAGCCCTCGCCAAAGCCCAGACGGGGAGGCTGGCGGGGCCGGGAGGGAGTGCGGAGGGTCTGCCCTCCTTCAAGGCAGAAAACAAGTAGGACGGGATACCGTTTCTGAGGGGAACCTCCCGGCCCGTCGCGTGCAAAGGATGGAAGCTGGTGTCATTCTGGGGTGGTCTGAATCTGGGTTCCCACCTAACTCTTTTGGTCAGTTTTGGGGGAACGGGAAAGGGACTGTGAAGGAAGACTACGGGAGATTCAAAAAACAAAAACAAAAAACAAAGTCATCATCCATTAGGAGCAGTGAGAGAGGGGAGAGGGACGCCGAACGCTTTTCTCCTCAAACTCGGTTTTCACTCCACCTCGGGTTTTCCGGTCTCCCGGGACCGAGGGCGGGGTGGGGCGGGGTGGGGTGGAGAAGACCGGGAGCGGGCCGGCCGGCGCGGTGGGTGATCCCGGGATGCAGGGATTCAGGGTGAGGGCGGGGTGAGATGGGGAGCGGAACCCGGACCCCAGGACCGGCCCGAGCCCCGCAGCCTAGAGCGCCCCCTTCCTAACTCCTCCTTCCCTAGCGGAGATGCGGATCCCGCATCCGAGACCTCCCAACTCGACCTTGGCACTTTGGGGGGGGGGGGGGCACAGCTGGCTGGCAGCTGGGTGGGGGACACCTCTCCCGCCTCCTTCTATGACTCACCCAGGGGAAGGAGGCGGGGGGATCGCGAACGACCCCCAAAACGCAAGAGACTCCCCAGAACGTACCCATTCAGTCATCTTTTCGAACCACACTGCCCAGCCACAGGGGAGCCGCGATGGAAGTGGGACGACGTCCCTCCTCGCCCACGCGTGCCACAGCCCACCCACAACTCCCCTTTACACTAATGAAAGGAAAATTTTGCCAACGTTTCCAGCTTTAGTTACGTTTTTCTGGGGTGTGGATGTGAGCACAGGATGGGACAGGGAGCCAGCTCCAGGGTTCTGCGGCTGGAGCCCTTAATCACTTCTGTGTCTCCCTATTTTCCAGAGCCCCTCTCGCACCCCCGCTCCCCAGCGCCCAGGAGCCGGCCCCGCCCCCTTCTCCGTGTCCCGCCTTCTCCGCCCCCGTGCCTCCTCGGCCCACCCAAGTCGCCGCCGCAGGCTCTGGCTGCAGACGGCTCCGCTTCCCCCGCCCGCCCCGGAGCCCAGTCGAGCGAGCCGAGGTGAAGGGGGGGGAGTGCTGAGAGGCGGGACACATTCTTCCCTTTCCCCTCAGTGTATCCAGAAAGCTGGCAGCGGCTCCCGGGGGTGGGGCACTGTTGGAGGGTGGGGGGTCCTAGTGGCCGGGTGGAAAAGAAAGAAGAATCCAGAAACTATAGAGAGAGAACGTGACTAGATAAATAAAATAAGGTGTGTGTGGAGAGGAGAACCCTCAGGACACATTAGGTTCCTGGGTATCCCAGCTGGCTTCCCAAGGGTTAACCCCAACAGACCCCCGGGAACCCCCTCAGTGACGTAAAGGGCGGGGTCTGTGCCGCCAGGCGGGGATGCCCGTGAGATAGTGGGGGAGGGGGCCTGGACCCCGCCCCCCTAGGGAAAACCACCCCAACTCCGGCCCTTACAACTCCCCGGAGAAATCGCCCCACCTTCTCCCTCTACCAGGCCGTGAAGACCTATGCTATGAAGACCCCAGTTCTCTAGCCCCCTAAAATCTTCACTTAGTCTCTATGGGATCCCCTTTCCCTAATCCTGTCCCCAAAGCTAGCTGCCGAAGGCGGATTGTTTCGGGGTCACGGGGCTTGAAAGAGGCTTCAGAGCGGGGAGAAAGGGCAGGCAGGGTGGTCTGAGTCAGAGGAGGGGCCTCGGTCCCCAGCTCCCGTTTGGGAGGGGGGCCAACAGGGATGCACCGGCAGGCAGTGGCCAGTGGTCCCGCCCAGTCCCAGTAGGGGTTTCCCTGCTGCTGGCCCCAGCTGTCCTGGTGGTCCTGAGGTCAGAGGGTCAAGACAAGGGCTTATGGGCGCCTCCTGAACACCCTGTCCACAACCCTTGGGACTCAGGTGTCCATAGTCCTTGAGGAGTCTTTCTAGGGCCTAAACTAGACACTGGTCCCGCCAGCCCCCTTCCTTGTCTGGAAAACACACCTTTTCCTAAAACACATGCACCAGCAAGCATATCTGTCACAAGACAGGTCAGGGGTTCTAGCCCAGCCACCCCCAGTGGTTTTGTCACCTGACGCACACCCATCCCCACTCGACCTGGGGTTCTCTCTTTAGCTGTTCCCTCCTTTCCGAAACACTGACGTCCTCCTGTTGGCGCTCAGAGACACACCTGGAGTTCCCTCTCTACACGCAGACTTCCAGCTAGCCGTCCCTCCAGCCTCTTCATCCCAACCTCATGAAAGTGAGATGTTTCTAATGTATGAGAGAGGCGGAGACAGACAAAGAGATCCACGGTTGCCTGAGACAGACACACAGACTGTCAGAAGAAAAAAAAAAAAGATATAGAGAAAGGGAAATACAAATGAAAAAATTCTCCAAACTTTCTAACATCTCACCCCAGGCTCTCCCACCCCAATTTTGCCTTGTGCCCCAGTTCTCCCTCTAGGCTGGGTAGAGTCCCTGGCCAGCAGAGCATCTCTTCAGACCCCCTCCCCCACCTCTCCCAGGTGGTCCCCCGCCTCCCCCCCTTCTCACCTCCGTCTGGGCGCTGGGCTCGGGATGCGCGGTCCAGGGCTAGATCTGGGCTGGGGGGTGTGCGGTGGCGAGGGGGGTGCGGACTGGGCCTAGGCAGCGCAGCCTCAGTGCCACCCCCACCCCCCCTAACCTGGCCCCCAGCCCTCCCGCCGGCCCAGCCCGCTGGGCTGCGAGCCGGGACCACCCGCGAGAAGCGCAAACTTTTTTTTTCCCTAATGCAAAAACTTTTTCTTGCTCAAGCCTCTGGCGCGCCGCCGCTCTTCCCGCTCGCCCTTCAACTCCCTCCTATTTCCCTCCCTCTTGCCGTTCAGTAGGGTGAGGCGGGTAGCTGGAAGCAAGAGAGGGGGTGCCGGGCTTATTGCACCCCCAGGACCCCCAGGATCCTCCCCCTCCCTAGAGGGACCCTATGCGGCCTACCCCCCCACCCCCGCCCCACACGCTGCTGGTGGTGGGCAGTAAATCCCGGCATGGATTTTTGGATCGGCTGCCCAGGAGGAGGCCTTCAACCAGAACGAGAAAACATATTGAGAAATATATTGCGGGACGCGAAGGGGACGACGAAAACGTTCATCCCAGAAAGATAATGTTGAAGGTAGGGTCGTCGACTTTGTTTGGTGCTAACTGAGCATTCCGCCACCCTGCAGTTTATCAGCTGGCCTACCCTTTGGGGGGAACTTAAAGGGTTGGGATGGAGTTGGGGTCTGGTGGAAACAGAATTGTGACAGCCTTGGGTTGGGGGGTCCTGGGCGGGACGTGAAGGGTCTATGGAGCATAAGAAGAACAGAGGCTGAGGCCCTGGGTGCGGAGTGCGTTCTCATTACTTTACTAAGGAACCCTGGCACTTAAGTACTGTCCCCGAGGAACCCCTGCTCTCCCTGGTCTGAAGCTCTGGAGCCAGCGGACACCTCCGCACCTCTGCGCTGCCCGCTCTTCTTCTGCTCTTCAAGGCTGTGTGCTCCCTCTGCTGGCCCCTTTAGCACACGACACCCTCTTACAGTCCAGGCAAAGGAAACTGAGGAAACCGAAGGAGTGGGCTTTACAGGTGCCACCCACCAAAGCCCGGTTAGGAGTCCAGGGAGGGAGCGGGTTGTATGAACCCGAAGACACGGAGGGGCACACTGGCGGAGGCCGCTAGTGCAGAGCGGTAGTGTCTGACAGGGGAGTGCTCTGTTTCTTTGGACTTGTGTTGCCATGGTGACCAGATACAGGGGAAGGGGCAGCTATTTTATCCCCTCTGACCTTCCTTTAGGAGAAAGGAAAGCATAGTGGGGGAAAGGGGTCACTTCTTTTTTGTTACGCCTTAGACAGACCTCCCGCATCCTAACTCTGCTTCCAAGAACCACCTCCTTGGGTCTGGAGGGCTAGTAAGTTAACTGTTTAGTCTGAGGGTCAAGGGGAAAAGGTGAAACTAGGAAGAGGTCTGACAGACACATATAGACAGCAGCTGTGCTGAACAGATAAAAAGCCCTATTTGAGCCTCCTCCCCCAGTGACTTTGACCCAGATGCAAGTCTTACCCAGAGGGTCAAGCAAGACCAGAGGTCACTGGAGAAGAAGGGACCCTGCACATGCTCCTGTCTCAGCCATGTGCCTCTCTTTCCGGGTGCTGGTTTAGAGCACAATGCTCTCTCTCCCCACACTGCTTTCTCTAGATCAGCAGTTCTCAAATATTTGTTCCAGGACTACTTTACAGCCTTTAAAATTATTGAGCTTTTAAAAAAATTCTCACCTGAGGATACATTTTTATTGATTTGAGAGAGAGAGAGAGAGAGAGAGACATTGATTGGTTACCTCCTGCAGGTGCCCCCCGCTGGGGATGGACCCCTCACCCTAGGTGTGCGCCCTGACTGGAGATCAAACCTGAAGCCTTTTGGTGTATGGAATGATGCTCCAACCAACTGAGCACCCAATCAGGGCAATTGTTGAGTCTTTGTTTATGTGGTTTATATCTATTTACCATATTAGGAATTAAAACTGAAAAAAATTGTAACACAAGAATACACAAGCACACATACCATTAACAATGAAGTCAGAAAGATGATGTAGTCACATGTCACATAGCCTCTGGAAAACTCCACTGTACCCTTTTGAGATGGTGAAAATAAAAAGGCAATCAGCCTCCTAGCATTATTATGAAATTAGTTTTGACCCTGTGGACACCCCTGAAAGGGTCTGGAGAAATTCCCAGAGGTCCCCAGACCACACCTTGCAAGTCATTGTTCTGGACCATCGCCCCAGCCCTTTTTCATAACTCACACTTGTTGATGCCCCCCCATTTTTATTAGGAAATTATAAATGTTTTTCTCTCCAGGGGTCCTGACCCCCCACTGGGAAAAACCAAGGAACTTCTCAGGCTCAGCACTCTTCTCCCCTGACTCCCATTTCTGGGGATCTCCAAACATCCTTCCTTAGCCCCTTGCCCAGCTCCCTCTCGACCCTCCCTTGAAGCATTTCAGCTGTCTGACCTTGGCCAGCCTGTTTCCCCTGCCCCCAAGCCTGCTGGACTTCTGCTTCTTCCTTGTCTCACTTGAGCACTCTCTCTTCTTGGGAGGGACTAAGTCATTTTTCTCTGCCTGCTCCTTCCCTCCTTCCCTCCCTTGCCTCTGCCATTTTCTCATAGGGCTTAGGGTAGGAAATCATGCTTTCTGGGTAGATTCCTTCAGAAGACACACTTCCCCCATCTTTCCACATGTCGGTCAGCCTGGAATAGACCAGAATCTGGACAATAAAGTGTCCATTTGGGTCTCATGGGGGTCAGCCCAGTCATACCACCAGGTGGCCTATTGGATGAGGGTGCAGATCAGGAATCTGATGCCTCCAGCCACAGATGCCCTTTACCTAGGAATTCCCAACTTGATTTCTTTACTTCAAATCCTCAGGTCCTCTTGCTAGCTACAGCCACAGGCCTCCACCACCATATCTGGCACATCTGTTTTGACCACATTGCCATCACGGTTCAGGTAGAGGAGAGAGAGAGGTCTTCGGGCAGTAGGGACACAGCAGGAGGTACCCAGGGACCAAGGGTTGTTGGCCTTGAGGAGGCTGAAGACAGCAGAATGGAAGGAGGCAGCAATGCCCGGACTGCCAGCCAGGTGGGAGGGGCACTGCCCACTGCAGTAATTCAGCTGGTACCCCTCAGGTTGCAGGATCCAGTCCCGCCATCCCAGTTCCTGGAAGTCTACATAATGGTCTCGCCTACAGCATAAGGGTGTCTCAGGCTCACATGTGTAAGTCCTCCTCCTGGCCCTGCCTGCTCCCAGCTCACTGGGCCGAATCTTAAGCTCCAGGAAGGGCCGCTGGTTTCCCTCTGTGTCCAGGAGCCGTTGAGCTTGTCCAGCAGCTGTGCTGTTGCCTTCTAGGGGTCTGCAGTCCAGTTGAAGTCTCAGGACAGGAGACTCCTCACCCCTCAAGCCACTAGAGGGCAGAATTAGGGCATGCCAGCCAGGGGTTGTAATTTGGTGTTCAGCCAGGAAGGCGAGGGACCCTCTGTGCCTCCTCCTTAGGCTCCATCGGAAGATCCTCAAGTAAAGAGTGCCCGGAAGGGTGGGGAGCACATGCAACCACAGGCGAGCGTGGTACAGATGGTGGGACCGAGGAGTGGACAGGTGGAAGGTGAGCGTGGAGCTGCAGGCTGAAGTGGAGGAGTCTGCCAGAAAGATGGAGAAAGGACTGAGGGGCGGAGCAGAGATAGAGCTCTCCTCTGTGACTCCCCCAAGCCCTGCCCGTTGCTCTCCCCAGCCCCCACCTGTAGAAGAAACAGCGACCGCCTTGCGTTTTCTGCAGTCAGTCACTGCCCCGGCTTCTCTTCCTCTGCCCACACCCAGCTCTGTCTGCCTTTTCCATCAGTCTCCCTCTCTGCCTCCCCTTTCCTTCCGCTTTCTGCCCATCTCTTCCTCACCCACCTGTGGCAGTAGCAAAACTGATGACTTCCTCCCCATTCGTCGGAGCCACACTCCCCTGCTGCAGTCTCCGGAGAGCTCTGGTCAGTGCTGCCTGGGGTGGTGGATTAGCTATCCTGGGACGACTGGCCAGGTGCAGCCCCTCCAGGATTTGCTGCTTGGCTAGCTCCAGGACCAGAGCTCGTTCTGCTTGGGGTGCCAGTGTGGGGACCCCACAGGAGGGACACACAGACCTTGCCCCCTGTGCCACCAGTGTCCACAGTAGCACCCACAGCAGCACCAGCTGGAAATGAACACCAGGGACCCTCATGATCCTGGTGAAGGGCCCTGGGTCAGCACAAGAGCCTCGGTTGGCAGTTGCTCCTTGTGTTGAGTCTGATTTTGTGGAGAGGCTAATGAGGGCACAGCAGCAGCAGACACCAGTGCCACACCTACCCTTAGGCAAGGGTAGAGTCACCTGTCTTCTATTGCCTAGCAGAAAGTGGATGGTCCAATGGGTAGCAGACTGTTTAGCACAGTCTGCCAGTTTGACCCTCACAGCTCAAGTCTGGTTACTGACTGGAGCCTCTTTAGAACCTGAAGCCTGGGGCTCCCTCACCTCGTGGTCAGCTGGCAGACCTACCCTCTGAGCCCCAGATTGGCCAGCTCTGCTGCCTATCAAGCCCCTGCAAGGGGTGGATGCCCCCACCACCCCGCCCCTGGAGCTCAGGTTTCACCATCTGGCCCTGGTCACTGAGATTAAGGTAGGGGTATGGGGGTTGGGGGGCAATGTGGACATGCATGATGCAAGAAAGAGGATGATTTCACATGGTCAGTCCTCAAGGTCTGGGAGTTGGGGGAGGGAACTCCATATAGCAAGGTGGGGAAGGGCAATTTCCTGTCATCCCTTCAGCCTTTCTAGGTCATTCTGTGGCCACAGCTGCAGCAGTTTCCACAATGCAGCTGTGAGTTCCAGTGGTTATTTCTCTAGGGTCTCTGGGCAAGAAGGAGAGCTCAGGTCTCTATTTCTAGCTATGGGTCTGGGGCAGGGGTGAGAGGTTGGGGAGAGGGGGTGGGAGGAACGGAGTCCTTTTGCCCAGGCCAAGGTGGCAGTGCCACGGGGCACAGAAGTCACCCCTTGACCCTGCCTGTGCTGGCTGCCCAGAGTCCAGTTGGACTGGAGCACAGCGTGGAGGAGGGCAGAGGCACGGGGTTGGCATGTTACTGTGATGTCTGGGAAAGCCCAGAGAGGTGGGGGGCAAGGGTGATGCAATCTTAGAGGAAGACAGAGTCCATTCAGGCTGGCAGACGGCATGGGACTTGGGAGGGCTGTGGCCGGCTGCTGGTTCTCTTGCAGGGGACTGTGAGAGTTGCCTAAATGTGGTGCATCCTAGAGATGGTGCCAGGGCCCTGTGAACTGGAGTGGGAAATGGGTGGTGTAAGGACTTCTAAGAGTAGAGCAAAACAGAAAGAGTGCAGCAACCTTAGTTGCAGTCCCAGCCCTACTTAACCACACTTCCTCACTGATTTGAAATGGGAGGGCCAAGTCCCCTCCACCTTGAACTCAAAGGGAAGGCCTCATGCTAGCCTTTCTCTTTATGCCCCAGTTTCTTCAAGAAGAAGGGAGGACGTGAGTGTGATTTGGAAATGTGCCCCCACTCCATTTTATGCATCTCTCCACTATTCAGCCAGTGGGGGCTGTCAAGAGAGACTGCTAGATCTGGCGGAGAGAGGTGGTGCTTTGGGGGCTGGGTCTCAGTACCGTCAATGTCCACCATGTGGCAGTGCGGAGCTACTGGACAGCAGCTGGCTTAGAGTTGACCAGTTTCCCAGAGAAGGGGCTACTCTGGTGAGCAGAGGGATGCAGCGCTTCCCAATCCTCTCACTCTGGGGACTCTGACTCTCCGACAGAAGAGAAGCTGGTCCTTCTGCTCTCTCAACTGGCCACTGCCAGAGAGCAGAGGCTGTCATCAGGACCCACGTCACTGATACCTTTGGCTTTGGATCTCATCGCACTGACAGGTGGCAATGGAGCTTGGTGATGGGTGCGAGGCTCTTCCTAGAAACTCAAGGCACCATGTAGTGAGGAGCAGAGAGAAGGGACAGTGAGACTTCATAGACCCTCCTGTCCACCCTGCATTTCTACCCATGTCCTGAAACACTCAAGCCCCTCTGTCCAGTGCTCTCCCCAGCTCCCAGCTTCCCTCTCTGTTGGTCGGGCTGGTGACAGCCCTCCAACCCCTGGGGTCTGGACTGTAGAACTCCAAAGTAGAGGTTTCTGCCCATGGCAGTGTTTCAGAGGGCTTACCTGTTGGTACCAGGAGACAGAGCCAAGGGAAGCAGCAAGAAGTGGCTGCAGGAGTTGCTGACCCCACCTGTCACCTACCCTCTCTGTCAGGTGCCCCCAATTTCCAGCTTTCCTACCCTCTTGCTGCTGTGCCTGGCCTGGCCCTACCTCCCCACTGACACTTACGTCAGAACCCAGCTATAAATATGCTCTTAGCATCTTAGTCACTTTTCCCAAGAAGAGCTCCTGGGTTATAAATACCCCAGCCATCTGCCTCACAGGCCCGCCCTACCACTAACCTGTTTGGGGATGGGGGGTAGTGACAAGACTTAGAGGTGGGTAAGGAAGTAGAAGAATCCTGAGTGATTATCTTGCCCAAATGAGAAAAACTTGACAGTATAGAGTTAGGGGTCAGGGACTCCGGAAGAAAAGGTTTGGAAGCAAACAGATTCACTCTTTTTCCTTGTTACAAAAGGCAGAGCCAAAGAAGATAGGGAATAATACTGATCCTGTGTTCATTTCAACATTTGACATTTTGTTCACCATGGATTTTTTGCATTAATTTTGATGTTTTAAAAATACTGAAAGAAGATATTATTTATCTTGATTGATGAATCTTTCTGTCATCCCCTCAAAGTTTTGCCCCTAAGGCAAGTGCCTCACTTCACCTCACCTTAGTCTTGGCCCTGGTCACTGAAGTTGTAGTGGGAGGGAGTGAAGTTAAATCTGGGAGGGATGTGGGGTGGGGGAGAGGTACCGAAGATTTCCTTAGTCTCTCCTTAGATAAAGATCTCAGGTCAGAGGTGGGATGACTTCCATGGAGTTTGCCCCGGAAGGAAGCGCTGCAGCTCCGACCTGCAGTCCCCCAGGGTGTCCCTTTCAGACTTTCTCCCCTAGGGTTCCTGTTCCAGGGCACTCAGACCCTGGCAGAAGGGGGTTATAAGCTGATCAAACACAGACATCACGTAATCCAAAGGACACATGGGTTTTGCAAACACTCGGCCTTGGGCTACAGACAATATTGACCCCATGGTTCAGTGCTGTCCAACTAAAGTGAAGAGACGGTGGGGGAAGAGGACAAAGGTCTAGAGCAGCGATTTTCAACTTTGTTCCTCTCATGGCATGCACAAACTAATCACTAAAATTCTGCTGCGTGCCAAGAATCATATTTTTTGCCAATCTGACAAAAAATAGGTATAATTTTGATGGATTAAAAAAATAGTAGTAATTACCTCCTTTGTTTGCTCCAACATGATTTTTTTTAAAAAAATCAGGTGTCTATACTCGTACAGAGGGATTTCTGCTACCAAGACACAACCTTATTATGCGACATGACCCATAAGATGCAACTCCATTATATGACCTATGTATTTATGGCCCAGTACAGGGCATACACACCAGACGGTTGTTGTGGGTTGGCTATTGTCATTTTTTTATTTGACAATCTAAGGGAAAAGAGGTCAGTGTTCCTGCATACTTTAAAAATTCTTGTGGCACACAGTTTGAAAATCACTGGTTTAAGGAGAACCCAGTCAGAGCAAATGCCTCCCTCTTTTCACTCCAGGCCTTCCTTTTTTGTCCCCTGCCCCACTCTGGTGGCCCTCAGCCAGCTCCAACTTCTGAGTAGGACTCCTGGATGGAGCCCCGGGGGCTGGTGAAAGGAAGGCAGCCATCTCTGAGCTATTCTCTACCTTTAATCATGTGTATGCCCACAAGTCATCAGCCTACTTGCCCATTGAGCAGCGATCTGTCTTCTGTCTCGGAGTGAGTGCAGTACAAGGAGAGAAGCAGGTAAAACTCAGGTCTTTATTAGCCTTGAGACCAGCAAAGATGATTCTGAGAGGATGGAGGGGGCCTAATAAAGAAGGGCAAACAGCCTGGGGAAGGAAGCAGCATGAAGTATGGGATAGACACAATAGCTCAGCCCCAGGGAACTTGTGTGAGGAGAGAGCAGAAATGGGCAGGGAGGGCAGGCTGTGTGTCCTCTGGCATGTCAGTCAGGGTCCTGGTAGGGGACAGAAGACCCACTCAGCTATCTGTGTTTGCACCACTGAGAAGACTTAATGAAGGACTTCTTTATACAGGTATGGGCAGGGTGAAGGGAACCGATGAGGGATGCCGAAATATCTAGGGATTGGCAAGAGTGGAGAGCCATTATAAGCCTCTAGTGTGGAAGCAGTGACATCAGAATCCGAGCAGAGCTAGAGCTGTGGAAGAAGGGAGCCAGACAGGAACTGTAGGGATGTGGTCACAGCCAGTCGCACAGAACCCTGGCACTTAGGCTGAGGGAGTAGGGATAACAAAGACCCTGAATTCTTGCCTGTGTCTCCCCTTAGTCAAACTCAGCAGGAAGCAGAGGCCAAAGGAACTCAAGTGAATTAGCCTGCAAGGGCATAGAACAGGGAAGAGAAGGACAAAGAATGGATGTGGGTGTGCTAAGAGAGCCTTAGCAGCACAACTGGGCAAGCAAGAAGTAAAGGGGCTCAAGACACAGAGAGGAATGAGTCTCATTTTAGAGAGTAGTGATCTAATCTTTAGTGAAACCAAGGAGGGGGCTCTCTCTGGAGATCCAGAAAATCAAGAGAAGAGGCTGGGTCAACTTATCCAGAGTGGAGGCCATTGAGTGGACAGGGTAGGGAGGCACAGTGCATTTTGGGGTGGATTAAGAGTGGGCTAGGGAAGTCTGCCTTGGAACAAGATTGCATTGCTCATGGTTGGAGGTTGATCAGAGTCTCTGGGATGGTGGTTGAGCATGTGGGGCTTGCTGGACAGACCGTGTTCTAGGAGAGAGACTGGTGGTTGTGAAGATGGTACAGTGACTCTCTGTAGATGAAGATCTCTTCAAGTAACAGTTGGGGTAATTTCCGTAGGTTGCCCAAGAAAAGGGAGGCATTTGCTCTGGGATAATTTCCGTAGGTTGCCCAAAGGCACCTTCTGGACAGAGGCAGTAATAGAATCTGTCCCTCCTTTGAGGAAGGGCACCTCTGTGGGGCATATTTGTCTACCCCACCTTAGGCTGCCCATGAACTAACTGCACCCACAGGCCTCTACCACCATGTCAGGTATATCAGTCTTGACGATGTTGCTGTCCCTATCATAGTAGAGCAGAGACAGAGGGCGCCGGGCTGTGGGCACGCAGCATGAGCCCCCTCCAGTGGTGCCTGTAGCTGTGTTGGCCTTGAGAAGATTGAGCACTGCTGTGTGAAAGGAGGCAGCAAAGCCAGGCATGCCTGCCACATGCACTGGGCACTGCCCTGTGCAGAAGTTCATTGTGTAGCCCTCAGGCTGAATGATCCAGTCGTGCCAGCCAATCTCACGGAAGTCCACAAAGAACTCTTGTCGACAGCACATCCTGGATCCACCCTGGCAATCGATGCCATGTCGTCGAACCCGGTGTTTGCCCCCAA